GTTCAGGTCGCTGTGAACTCTCTGCTGACCGTCTCTGCACTCAGGGGCATCCCAGGATGCTATGACCATCCTCCTTGGGTGGCCTATGGTATTCACAGGCCACATGTCACACCATGCAAGCGGGTTCTTTCCAGATTACAGACTTTATTTTGCAAGCACTCCTGGAAAGAACTCCACTACAATCTCAATAACATAAGAAGTCTATAGTCTCCTTGAACCCACTCACAGATGAAGTAAGGATGGTCTGTGCAGTGAGGAAGGGTTAGCCTTCTGGTACCAGGGGGACTGATGCATAATGTGCGCATTTAGTTAGATGTGTCCGAATTCTATTAAGGATGAGACCTACTCCTGTAATGCCATGAAAATCCAAAATGCACACGTGCCCTTGAATCCAATGCCCCGCAGCAGGCGCTGTTGTCCGATTCTCTCCCCTTCCCACCTCCTCTCTCCTCTCATTTAGGAAACGCATTTTTCCAGGTTCTCCTGGAGCGTCTGTTATATGAGTCTGTATGGTCCTTTGCACATTAGGAATTTAAATTGTTAGAATATGTTAGTGGTAAAACATATGCTGATTGCATGTCATTGGATGAATGAAACTCTCTCCCCTTTTCTCCTCCAAAATTAAAAAAAAGAAAACAGTCTGAAAAAGAGATAATTTAAGGCTTATAAAATGCAATTTGACAGGCAATTTTCAAGAGTTTTCATGTCACTTTCATCTGGACTTGAGCGCGGGCAGCTCCAGCGGCATGAGGGGCTCTGGGCCTGGGCGTGCCGTGATGGTAGCCCTGCTGCCCCATCGTGCGTGGCAGTGACGCTCCGTTCAGTGATCTCATTCCCAGGCCAGAGGTCCCATGGCTCACAGGAAGCCGTCATCCACTTTTCCATTGAACTATAGACACGCTTTCCTGTGATTATGCATACAGGTAGTTTCAGTGGTAAAGAACCCGCCTGCCATTGTAGGAGACACTAGAGACATGGGTTCGATCCCTGGGTCAGGAAGATCCCCTAGAGGAGGAAATGGCAACCCACTCCAGTATTCCTGCCTGGAGAATCCCATGGAGAGAGGAGCCTGGTGGGCTACAGTCCATGGGGCCACAAAGAGTAGGACATGACTGAGCAACTGAACACAAAAAATATTTTATTAATATAAAAATGGGGCAGAGTTTTCATGCTGTTTTGTGATCCTCTTAATTAAAATGAATATAGTAAGTCAAACACCTCTCCAAGTGAAAAGTGTGCCTCAGCTCCATTGTGTCCAAAGACCACCCCCAATTCCACTGTGTGACTGCTTTGTTCATTTATTTAAGCTCAGATGAATTTGCAGACAGTTTACAAAGATGAAGGCTCAGGGCCTCTCTCTCCATGGATCTTCCAGAGCCCTGTTCTGACTTCTGTATTCCTAATTTTATATTGCTTTTCTTAAATCAGTCTTCTTGACATGCATCAGCTTCACATACTACAAAAGTGTTTTTAGGGCAATTTTGTATCTGTTTTCCTGCACCCTTACATCATTTTCATTCCTTATCCTTTTTTGCTCACCTACCTTCAGGAGGAAGCAGCTGGCAATCTTGACAGGTGATCACAGGATCACTTTGAGAACCCATCTGTTATGCACTGTGCTAAGTCACTTCAGTCGTGTCCAACTCTTTGTGACCCCATGAACTGTAGCCTGCCAGGCTCCTCTGTCCATGGGGTTCTCCAGGCAAGAACACTGGAATGAGTTGCCATTTCCTTCTCCATTATGCACTGAGTCCCCCCAAATTCACATGGTGGAACCCTGACTCTCACAGTGATGGTATTGGGAGGCAAGGTCTTGGTGTGATTAGGTCACGAGGGTGGAGCCCTCTTTAATGGAATTAGTGCTCTTATAAAAGAGGCCATAGGGAGCTCCCCATTCCTTCCACCCTGTGAGGAAACAGCAAAAATTCAGCCGAACCAAGAAGAGGACCCTCACCAGACACTGAATCTGCCTGCACCTCAATCTTGGGCTTCCAGCCTTCAGAACTGTGAGAGATAAATGTTTGCTATTTAACCCACCTCCCCACTCCAGTATTGCCTGTAGAATCCCATGGACAGAGGGGCCTGATGGGTTACAGTCCATGGGGTTGCAAAGAGTTGGACACAACTGAAGTGACTTAGCATGCATGCACACACACCACTCGGTTGATGGTGTTTTTGTTACAGCAACTGAAACAGACTAAGACCCCATCTTTAGCTGAATACTCTCTAAGTGTAAGGAAACAACCTGTGCCTAGAGGGGGAGAGGCCAGGACCCATGGTTCGTGACCCTGACTCCTTGAGGGTCACCAGGTTGCTTGCAAAAATCTCATCGCAGACTTCCCTGGTGGTCCAGGGGTTATGAATCCAGCTGTCAATGCAGGGGACACAGGCTCCATCCCTGGTCGGGGATGGTCTCACATGCTGCGGGGTAAAGAAGCCAGCCCGCCACAACCGCTGAGCCTGCCCTCGAGCACCTGTGCTCGTGGACAAGAGAATCCACGCGATGAGACGCCCACGCTCTGCAGTGAAGAATAGCCTCCAAGACTAGAGAAAGCCCACACACAGCAACAAAGACCCAGCACAGCCAAAAATAAGCAAATACCTCCTTTAAAAATAAACAGCTAAATTAAAAATTCTCATCCTCCAAACCCCCCAGATTATTCCAATGGGGAACCAAGGTGGAGAACCATCTCTAATTGGAGACTCCTCTAGTGCAGGGGAGATGATGTTCAAACTCAGACCATGAGACACTATCCCAGGATTGGAGGGGAGAAGGCACAGAAGTTGGGGTCTCAGCTCTGAATAATTCCCTTCCAAGTCTTCCCAAAGTGTTTTTGAGGAATAGATAAAGAAAAGGTGGTACATATATACATTGGAATATTACTCAGCCATTAAAAAGAATAATGCTATTTGCATCAACATGGATGGACCTGGATAGAGATTGTCGTAGTGAATGAAGTAAGCCAGACAGAAAAGGAGAAATATCATGTGACATCCCTTATATGTGGAATCTAAAAATAAATGATACAAATGAACTTAGAAAACAGAATCAGACTCATAGATTTAGAGAATGAACTTGTGTTTGCCAGAGGGAAGGGTGGGGGTGGGGAAGGGATAGTTGTTTGGGATGGACATGTACACACTGCTATATTTCAAATGGATAACCAGCAAGGACTTACTGTATAGCACATGGAACTCTGCTTAATGTTATGCTGCAGCCTGCATGGGAGGAGAGTTTGGGGGAGAATGGACACATACATACGTATGGCTTAGTCCCTTCACTGTTCATCTGAAACGATCACAACATTGTTTGAAAATGGGCTATACCTCAATACAAAATAAAAAGTTTAAAGGAAAAAAAAAAGGAAATGGAGGGAACAGCTTTGTGTCTAGGAAGAAGAAGAATGAGCAAAGGCTTTTTTTTTTTAGATGTTCATGTGCACGGACCACAATCTCCCATGTGCTGTAGTAAAGCTTAGGATTTTGCTAGGTGTTCTCACTGCTTCTTAACAAAGACGACAACCATGTTCTGGGCTTTGGAGCTGCAGAGTCTAGCCAACCTCAGAAAGCTCCGCCAATTCAAATAGACTTCCCTTTAAAATAGCATGAGGCCTTCTCCCTCTCCACCCAGATTTATGGGTTTCCAGCCCTTTGGTACAACCAAGCATCAACACAGCTTCTGATCCGTTTCAATCCCCGAGTGGGTTTGAGGCTGCCTGCTGGCTGCCACTCTCAGTCTTGCTGGGAGGACAACGATGAAGCCTTCGGGCTGGGCAGAGTCCACAGGGCGGGTCCCTTCCTTCTGCCACTCTGTTGTAATTGCCTGTAAGAACACTAATTCGCGCTGGCCCAAGATCTGTACTCTAGAAATCAGATATGTTACTCAACACTTTGATTTATTTTAGGATCGTTAAAAATTAAGTGAGAGAGGAAGAAGCACAATAAATAGGACTCTTCTTGAAAGAGTGAAAACCCTCAGGGTGTGCCTTTGGTTTTTAGAACAGAAAGCAGGACTGGATTTTCGGTCTCTGGAGACCATCTGTGGGTCTCAGCTACACAGCTGAGCAGGGGGCCGCAGGCGAGCAGAGAGGAAAACCCTGACTTACAAGGGTCTCAGGATAGATGGGAGCAGACAGGCCAACCATGGAAGAACAGGCCTCTTTTCCCTCAACGCTCCGTCGGAATTGAAAGCACATGCGATAATGACCACTTTTCAGCACTGCGGTTTGATTTTTCCAGTGGGGGAGCTAGTTCATGGTGGAGTCTGTGAGCAATGAATTAGGAGTTAGGAACCAGGAAGAGATGAAGTTTCCTTATGCTTAGTCACTCAGTTGTGTGGGACTTTGCAACCCCAAGCCTTCCAGGCCCCTCTGTCCATGGGACTTCCCAGGCAAGGATACTGCAGCAGGTTGCCATTTCCTTCTCCAGGGGAATCTTCCTGACCTAGGGATCAAACCTACATCTCCTGTGTCTCCTGCACGGCAGGCAGATTCTTTACCCACTGAACCATCAGAGCCAGAGCTGAAGTTTGACAGCAAACATCTCGGTCATGTTCGTGCAAAATTTCAGGGACCATCGGAGTGAGACTTTTCAGAAGAATTTTCCATTGCCTTCAGAGACAACATCAGATTCTTGCTAAAGAAAAAAGAGAGCTGGTCTGATGATGCCAGGGGGTGATAGGGGGGTGATTTCGGGGGCCTTTCTTTCGTCATGTAAATTCAGGCAATTTCCTAAGGGCCGCTCAAGACAGCTGCTGTTCCCAAATCACAGAGAGCTGTCAGTTTCAGAGAACTCTCTCTGCAGTTCTGGGGCTTCTCCCACGCCCTCATTGCTATGCACAAACTCCTTCCTTGTGGAATATTTCATTTCCTGGAAAGTGGCTGAGCCAGCAGAGCTGCAGGTCCAGATGTTACCAGTGCACTCGAGAGGGGACCCGAGTTCACACCTGCGTGAGCGCTCCGGGCGAGCCCCCGCCCGCCCCAGTCCGGGGAGATGCATGCTCACGGTGTGCCCGTGGCCCCAGAGTGGCTGGAGACCGACCGCAGCCATGCCTCCCGAGGTGCCCTGCCCGACACGGAGCCTCCGCCCTGGGAGGAGCCACGGCGTTCCCGCTTCCTCTGATCTTCTGTCCCTCCAGTGCCTTTTAGGTGTCTTGTATCAAGTGTGACTCCCTCGTGATGAGAAACCCTCCCTCCAGATGCATCTGAGCAAGGAAGCGGTTCCATATGGCATACTCCTCGCAGACCAGAGCCTGCAGACAGTTCCAGAGCCTGGACTGTGGCGACAGCGACCATAAGAGAAAAGCAAGGAGCGTTTTGAAACATGTACATTACGATATGGAAAATCAGATAGCCAGCGGAAATTTACTGTGTGATGCAGGGAGCTCAAATCTGGTGCTCTGTGATAACCTAGAGGGGTGGGAAGTCGGAGGGAGGCTGAAGAGGGAGGGAAGGGATGCATACCTATAGTTGATTCATGTGGATGTATGGCAGAAGTCAACACAACATCGTAAAGGAATTACCCTCCAATTAAAAAGAAAGAAAGAAAGAAAAAAAAGCAGCGAAACAGATCCAGCAGGCCTCCTGAACTGCCCAAATACCCGAGAGATTGCTCTAAACGTTCCAGCTGTGGTCAGCTCCTCCTCACGGACTGAACGCAGGCTGACCTGCCCCAGGGATAAAGCAAGACCCTGCCTTGTCCTCCTGGGTCACTGTGGCATCGGGGCTCGGACTCATGCATCAAGAGCAGCTGTTCCAGAGGAGTGGTCTGTGGCAGGTCCAAACCCTTCTCTCCCTGACCTTGGCTGCTTGTGGGGGGAGGGGGGCATTAGAAACTGAGATTTGCAGCTCAAAGCAAAGGCCAAAGGTGAAGGTGCTGAGGTTAGCTGGAAAGTGGCCTGGAAAGCTGCTCACTTTCTGATCCTTGAGACCTGTGAATGTTAGTTTGTGTGGGTGTGTGTTCTGAGCTCAGTTGTGACTGACTCTTCGCAACCCCATGGGCTGTAGCCCTCCAGGCCCTTCTGGCCATGGGATTTCCCAGGCAAGAAAACTGGAGTGGGTTGCCGTTTCCTTCTCCAGGGGATTTTCTTGACCTAGGGAGCAAACCCGGGTCTCCTGTGGCTCCTTGCTTTGCAGGCGGATTCTTTACCTGCTGAGTCATTGGGGAAAGCCTGAATGTTAGTTAATGCGCAAAAAGAGGGGAGTTTCTCTGCAGGTGTGCCTAAAGTAAGGATCTCTGGGTGGAGCGATTATCCTGGGTTCTGTCGGTGGACCCTAACTGCAATCACGTGCATCCTTCTATGAGGGAGTGGAGGGAGATTTGACATACAGAAGGGAAGGATCACAGAGGCAGAGTTTGGAGTCAGAAGTCAATGATTGTGGCAGCCACCGAAATCTGGAGGGTGTGAAGAATGGGTTCCCCCTGAGCCCCCAGAGGAAGTGGGGTCTGCTGAGACACTGTGATCTCAGCCCAGTGATACTGGCTTTGAACGTCTGGCCTCCAGAACTATAAGAGAGTAAAAGCGTTGTTTTAAGCCACCAAGTGTGTGGTCATTTGTCATAGCAGCTACCGGACACCACCAACAGGGGACAGAGGGAACAGGTCCGGGGTAGGGGGTGTCTTGGAGATGACTTGCACTTAAGGGGGTGGTGGTAAGGACAAAGAAAAAGAAATCAGAGTCAAAAGCTAGGGGTCGGGACGATAGACCACAGGCAAGAGTCACACTGAGATCTCCCTACCCACGGCGTCCAGCCCAGATAAGTCATCTCCACTGTGACAGTCTCCTCCTGACATGCCCAGGAACCTAGCGACATGGGCTCTGGGACCATCAGGCTGTATCCCAACCCAGATGCATGTATCTGGATAACTGATAGCTCTCGAGAGTCCTTATTATCAGCTAATGTGTTTTTAGTGGTCTGTGTGCTCAGGCATGTCCGACTCTGTGGGACCCCATGGACTGCAGCCCTCCAGGCTCCTCTGGCCATGAAATTCTCTAGGCAAGAATACTGGAGTGGGTGGCCATTTCCTTTTCCAGGGGATCTTCCCGAACCAGGGGTCAAACCCGTGTCTCTTGAGTCTCCTGTGTTGGCCTGCAGATTCTTTACCAGTAGCGCCACCTGGGAAGCCCGTTATTAGCTAGGTGAATGGCTGAATGCATTCAGGGAGAACTGCCTCGTGCTCAGTCCTGTGGGGACCACAATGAGTGAGTCGCGTGAACGGCCTGATCTTTAGGAGCAGGAGTGATGGCTGGGAAGCGGCCTTTGGAAGAGGAATCACTGATCCACCTCACCTGCAACCCAGAAAAATTCTACCCATTCTTCCATGCCTTCTGCCTTGGAGGTGGGAACTGGAGACCTCAAGGGACCCTGAAAAGACCTCTGTGGTCCTCTTCCTTCCTGACGGAGGCAGGCCATCACACGTGCCTCGGGTGGATGCTGCCTGCAGGAGGAAGTGGGTTAGGGCCCACATTTTCTCTGTAGCTCTTGGGCTTCATGCAGCAGGATACAGTTTACCATGCTCATCCATGGCACAGTGAGGAGGGACGGATGTGAAGGGCGAGACCCTGCTGAGAATTTCAGGCCACCCATGGAAAAGACATTGCTAGTCTTCAGATATCTCAGAAGTGGGCAGGTTCCAGGGCTGTGGATGGTGCTGCTGGCCATTATGTCTGAGGCCAGTGAGCTAAGAGCATCACACCAATCCCAGAGGTTCGTGGGAGGTTGGTGGAAGGTTGCTTTTTCTTGCCTCAAGGCACTGACATCTGAGTTTGCTGTCTCTTAACCCTCTCCCTTGTCTGGAACTCAGACCCCTCATCTTTGTTTCTTTGTTCCCTCGAGCTGAGTTTCCTGGGAGCCTTCAGCAAAGGAGCTGAGAAAATGTCTCATTCCCAGAGTTAACGGAATTACCATAATGTCCCCAGAAGACTACTCAGCTCTTAATTCAAATGTCAACAGTATAAATACTTCCATTCCCTGAGTTGAGAATCTTCAAAAGCAAAAATAGTCCTTCCTTAGGTCAGCAATCCTGAGCTTGTGGTTGCAACCCCCAGGGGGAAGATCTAGTCACTGGCAGAGTGGGTGAAAAATTAGGAACAAATGTCTTGGCGTGATGACTGTCCGCACTCTGCAGGGACAGAGACATCCATGGGATTCAGAGTTTGAGTCACTCCAGGGGCCGTGACAACAGCCGAACTATGTGTCCAAGAGGCATCGCAAGGGGTGACTCAACCTCAGGGCCTCCCACGCCTCGGGTATCCCATTTGCCCGCTGTTTCCTGGCCGTGGGGTCCGTGGGGGCACCCACACACTGAAGGACGGAGCCCACAGGGGCCCACGAAATTGCATTTCCCACCGCTCAAAGAAAGTACCCAGGGTTTCAGAATGAGTCAGAGCAGGGCAAGCCGGGTGAGGGTTTTCGGATGACTTTTTCTTTTATTCCAAGGAACTTGAATGTTTGCAAGCTGTGAGCTCAGGCTTGGCCAAAGGAACCCAGAGAAGCAAGAAATGGAAAAGATGTGACTGCATTTAAAAGTTAATCTTGCTCTCCTAAATCAAGGAATCCTTGACTATAATAGCTTGGAGAGGCCTGTGTGGAGAGGCAGACCATAAAACTTCCTAGACACTTGAACAATGATCACTGAAGCTGCAGGAACAGCAATGCTCCCACTGAAACAGCTGGGCTGGTCCTCCTAGCATCTCCACATCCCACCACCTCCAGGACAGTGAATGTTCTCCAGGGGGATGGAAACCTGGATCCCAGCCCGCTGGTCACTCCAAGCCTCCCTGAAGATGCTCTGATTGCTCCTTGGGCCCTGGGGCAGTCAGCTCAGTTCTCTGGAGTTCCCCCATTGAGTCCTACCCCCAAATGTGTGGAAAAGAGAAAAAGGAAAAGTGACTAAGTCAGAGGAAGGCTCATCCAGTCCCTGCTGGTCCCCCATTTCCTCTTGTGTCTCAAGTAACCATCATGTGGAAGAGAACGTTTCCCAGTGCCGGGCTGGGCAGAACCTGGTGCTCCTGGTGAGACAGGCTGGGCAGCTGGAAACACGGAGGTGGTGAAGGAGTCGGAGGGGATCTGAGTGAGGCAGGCAGAGTCATAATGGGCTCGGTGCAAAGAGCCATTGCCTGTGCTGTGGGTCTGGAGTGGAAGGGGTAGACGGAGGCTGGTGTTGGCCTCCTGCTCTCTGTGGCTCAAGCCCATGGCTCCCACTCAGCAGCATCCAGCTGATGGATGCGCCTCTGCTTTTCTACGTGTCTTCAGAGACTTAAGACACGAACTACAGGAGCTCTGACATAGGCTACATAGGCTCTCCTATGCCTCCAAATATTAATATTTGTCGAGTTATTACCTGTCAGCTGTGGTGCTGACACTGAGCAAACAGCAGCAAAAAAAGATCAAAAATAAGCAATAAGAAACAAAAATTTCCCAGAATCCTGCCATTATTATATCATAGTCAGAAAGACCAATTTAAACAAATCAACATAACGAAGAAGTCAATGTTACCCCTATCTCTTTGTGCGTGTAAAGGGTCACACAGCTCTTGGAACCCTCCTTATGTCATTTGCAGATAGAACAAGTTGTCATTGAATGGGGTCCCTTCCTCCCCCTGTATTTGATGCTTTAGGACTTGTTCCTTGCCTGAATCCAGTTCATGTTGGGGAAGGACATGGTTGCACCTCTTACAAGCCCAACCAAGCGGGACAGTGGCAGTCACTCTGCAGCTCCTTATTGCATCTGGTTGGTCTGCCTGGTCCCGGACTTACCAATGAAGCAGGTGGATTTTAGGGAGAGTCACCACACATTTAGATTCGAAGCAGAGTTCCTGTTAGAAACTATTATTATGGCATTGGTACTACCCAATGCCCCAGTTCATCCAGGGGAGAGGTGATGGGTATGAGGACCACAGACATAGCCATAGCAACAGAGAGAAGTAAAGACAGATGAGGTTTTGGAGACCAACTTATATGATGCTCTAATGCATTGGTTGTCTAGGATGGAGGGAAAAGAAGAAAAGAAGAATCAAGAAAAATCCCTTGGATGGATATTTGGCTTGAGTAATTGCATATTATCACTATATGAATAACAAAAGAAGTTAGAGAAAAATGCTAAAATGTCAATGTTTAGTTTTGATCATCAATTTTCACCGAATCACTGAGGATTCAGCCTAGCTGCTATTGACGCTGGCATCCTGTGGGGAAAAATACATTATATGGTATCAATTCCCCCCCTGAAGTTGAAACAGTCAAGGCTAATTAAAAAAAAAAAAAACCTCTATGATAATTATAGCTAAATCATGAGTAATTCTTTTAAAAGAAAGCACAAAGGAAAAAGTAACC